ATCACTGCAGCTCAGAATAACAAGAGACACCTTATTATAATTGACAATGTTTATTGTGTCCTGCTGATGCCAAATAACTTGAAGGAATCAACAATGCATACCAAACAAAAGAGCAGGTGTCAGGAGGATACAGCCAGTGATACCTACACTTAATGTACGTCTGTGTTTTTAATGTTTCTGCACTTTAAGATTACAGATCGTCCTTTGCATCCTGCATCATTAAGACTTCACTGTCTCACAGTAGCAGACACTTTTGCCACCGTTTCATATGATATGAAGCAGCCTCCTTCATTCAGGGTTCTGATGATGTCATTCGTAATCAATAGGAAAACCCAGAGTTAACTGTACCAGCTTTTTAGTGCCGGTTATCCAGACAGACAATGTGACGGGTTAGTGAAGCCAGATATGAAAAGATATCCTGGGTAAGTTGAACTGGCTTCGTAGTTCAGGCCTCTGGTTCCCTCTTCTCAAAGTCAGTGGGTTTTTGGTGAGATGCCTGAAATCAGCTCTGTGGTCACCACAAGCTGAAGATGCTTTGTTTTGTCCTCATTAAATACCCCACACCTCCATTCTGAAGCTTTTATGCGTCTTAAAAAAGGCGGTTGCTAACAGGTGGCTAAACAAGGCTACAGAATGTCAAAACACTGAACACGGCTTTGTAAGTCATGTGACCATGGCGTACTTCCTTTATAGCCTAACGTTAGCTTTTACCTCTGCTGACAGCATTTAGGTTTCAGTGATCATAAAAGTTGAGCTCATTTTCTACAATAATCTAAAATGCAATCGTAAAATCTCATTGAGGTTTTGACGAGGGAACCAGGGCGATGCTAACTTCCTTGTTGGCCTACAGGAGCTCATTCATGGGGCGCTCTAGTCAGGACCACCATGCTGCCTGTGAGGTGCTGAGCATGAGCAGATAATCCTCTGGGTTGTTTCATTCCCAAACTTTTCAAAATGTCCTGTGTGACGAGAAATTCGAGGTGGTTTGATACAAGTTTTAAAACATACTGTAGCTACTGGAACACAATAGAAATGTAATAAAGCCAACCTGAAGTGTTAAGTTCATTTTGACAGTGCACAAAGTGAAATCTCTCTTTACAGCTGACCAGCACAGGTTTTGACTCATTTTTAAATAAACTCAGTTTTGGGTGATAAAGCAGACGACTGCAGTGTGTTTTTGTTGGGTCAATGATGGACCGACTGATTTATGTTTCATCTGTTCTTCCTCTATGAATCTGTACATGCAGCGTGTTTCCTTGTGTCATTTGAAAACTTTATTCACCTTTAACGTGACTTATAACCTGAACAATTCAGCTGATAAACAAACAAATCCTTTCTGTGGGAAAACAAAAAAAAAATTAAAACTTATAATAACCTGGTTGTGTAAATACATTTAGACTTTACTGAATTGCATCTCACAGCAGAAGCTGCAAAGAGTATCTCATCATTCAAAGGTACAAAAACACTCCACGGCAAAATATGGAGCAACAGTGACGTTACCAAGAACTGGATGTCCCTTCAAAACTGATGAAAAGATGAGACGAAAACTGGTCATGAAGGGCGCCGAGAGGCCGACAACAACACTGAAGCAGCTGCAGGGATTCCTGGCATGTACTGTGCATGTGCTACATCAACAACAGACGTCCCGTGTTCTTCATATGTCTGGACTCTGGGGCAGGGTCACAAGATGGAAGCCTTTTCCTACAAAGAAAAAAACACCCAAGCCCGCCTAAATTTTGCAAAAAAAATAAATAAAAATAAACGAAACCAAATGTGTTCTGGTCTGATGAAACCAAGAACGTTTTGGCAATAATTCCAAAACGTATTTCTAGCACAAAAACCCTGGTGGTGGTGACAGCATCAGGCTTTGGGGTTGGTTTTCTCAGCTGGCACTGGGGCTTTAGTGGAGGTGGAGGGAACTACGAACAGTTCCAGTGTCTGCTAGAAAGCTGAATATGGAGAGGAATCTAACCTTTAGGCGCACAATGACCCAAAACATACGTCCTTCGAACAGAAGATTAACATTTTGGAGCCCAGAACTAAAGCTAAGTGAAAATCTGTGGAGGTGACCTGAAGTTTGTGCTCTAGAGAAAGGATCAGCACTCAGTGAATAACCTCCTGAGCTCTATGATAAGCTGTTATGTAATAATATACAATAATACAATAATTCCATTACCTAAAGATGGCAGACTAGCACTTACTGGGAAGAACAGCAGACCCATCGCTATTCTTCCAGTACTCAGTAAACTGATGGAGTGAATAGTCCACTCACAAATACAGGAGTACTTTGACTGTAATGGTTTGAATACAAGATCTCAACACGCTTATAGACGTAATTACTCCACTTGTTCTGCCCTTACAGAAATGACAGATGACTGGTTTAAGGAGATGGATAATTCTAAGATGACTGGTGCAGTATTACTGGATTTTAGTGCAGCATTTGATGTCATAGATCACGATCTTCTAATTGGGAAATTAAAATGTTATGGACTTAGTCCAACCGCCGTCTTATTTATGAAGAGTTATCTCTCAAATAGGACACAGAGGGTTTGTAACAGCAGCAGCTGGTCCGACTCCAAAGGGCTGGACTGTGGGGTCCCACAGGGGAGCTGCCTCGGACCACTCTTATATTCCATCTTCACAAACGACCTGCCATCTGTTGTGTGTAAAGCTACTGTACAAATGTATGCGGATGACTCTACATTGTATTATGCTGCAAAGACCACTGGAGAACTAAATGATGTTCTATCTGCGGAGCTAAATGTGGTCTTTGATTGGATAAAACAAAATAAGTTGGTGTTGAACATCTCAAAGACTAAATCAGTTGTTCTGGGACCACGTCATAAACTGTCATCTGCACCTATAATGAGTTTAAACTTGTGTGGGCAAACTATAGAACAGATGGATAAAGTCAAATTACTGGGGGTAATTATAGATAGCCAACTGTCATGGGCTGAGCACATTGATGCAATAGTTAAAAAGATGGGCAATGGTATCTCCACGGTGAGAAAATGTCTTCCTTACGTCCCTGCACATACTGTGGAGCAGGTAGTGAAATCCTTAGTCTTGAGTCACCTGGACTATTGCGCACCTGTATGGTCATCTGCATCAAAAAGTGTACTCAAGAAATTACAAATTGCCCAGAACAGAGCCGCCAGACTGGTCTTACATCGCCCCATAAGAACAAACATCAACTGCATGCATTGTAAACTCTCCTGGTTAATGGTAGAAAAAAAGCTTGCTTTAAACACAGTTACATTCTTTAGCAACAATATTTACTCCACCAAACCAGACTTTTACATAAGCAAATTATCAAATGCCGTCAAGTTCTTTCCCGCTTCACTAGGTCAGCAGATCATGGCCAAATTATATTACCATGGCCTAAATCAAATGCTTTAAAGAAGACAGTCACTTATCGTGCCATCAACCATTGGAATAGTTGCCCTCTTAATATTCGTCAATCAAATAATAAGTTGTCCTTTTAATACCATCTAAGAACACATTACTTAAACAGCTGAGAAATAGCCTGGTATGTAAACTGCCTAACCTACTGTATGCTCATTTTTAATAATGTATAATGTATAATAATCTGCTAATGTATATGTAATGTAATCCATGAATGTACATGCATTTTAGATAATGTTATATGTTTTTTTTTTTTTATCTGTTTTGGACCCCAGGAAGACTAGCTTGTCACCTAGGTGGCAGCTAATGGGGATCCTTTTAAGAAATAAATAAATAAACAGCAAGGCTTAACTATACAGACCAGTGAGCAGTGATAACTAACATGTCTTTGGGGTCATCAGGTGGGAACCTCCTTTCACCAGTGTTTCGTCTAGTTGGTCCTACGACACCTCCAGGATGCTAGACAGTGATCTCTGGTTTCCCAGAGACACTCCCCTAATGCCAGGTCTCACTGCTCCCCGCACCAACCCAATAACCTCCTTTACCTTACTTACACATGGCTTTCTCAGCCCAAACAACACTGCCACCTTCAACCAAACCCAGGCTCCGTACATGTGAGCTTCAGGTAGTGTTTGTGCTGATACTACCTTTCCTAGCACATTCACCATACTCTATTTCACACGCTACATAGCATAACTACAATATAAGCTAAAGTTAAAGGAGACAGATAAACTCACAGACTTTCTCAGCCCAAACAGCACAGTGAGGGATGTGCACATACTGCGAAGTCAAGATGCTGCACGCTGACAGACTCAAACACTAAAAGACTGAATGCTGTAATACAATCAAAAGGTGCTTCAGACAAGTCATTTACAGGTGTGCAGACTTATGCAACCAAGTTATTATCTTTTCTATATTTCCCCCTAAAAGATTTGTTTGTTTTCAGCTGAACTGTTCAGGTTATACGTCACGTTAAAGGAGAAAAAGCTTTGAAATTATTTCTCTTGGTCTTGGTTTTAATGTCCAAATTTGATTTAAGGTCAAATATGATGGCATCTGTTTTCCTGGTGCGCCCCCTGGTGGCTGTGAGAAGACACTGCAGTCATATGTTGGTGCTTCTGAAATTCTCTCAGCTACAGTATTTTATTAAAGGAGGTCACAAAGTGTGTTCCATCTTGTGTAACACCTAAAATGAAGTGTTTGACCGATAATTAACTGGTACATTCAGCAGGTGTTACACACACACACACACACACGAAAAACCAGTTCTGGATCTGGTTTCTTCTACAAGCAAAACATGTTTGATGATAGAAACTGGTGCAGCCGCCGTCATCAGCTGAGTGTTGAAGGATTAATTCATAATTACCTGTGAATATATTTGTCTTGGAAAAGTTCAGTTTACTCAGAGGAGACTGACCTGAGTGTGTGCAGCGCTCTGTTGATACACAGCATCAGTTGGACTAACAGTCACCTGATGGCACTGATCACACAAACTGGTCCGTCTGTGACAATAAAGTGTTGCCACTTACCGGTTTCCACCTCACCACGTCTCTGCCTAGGCCACGTGCCACGAACCAGCGTCACACACTCACAGCTCAGGTCTGACACAGCCCTAAAGTTTATTTTATTCATGTCATTTAAGTTACACGGTGGAATCAGAGACACAAAAAGGTTAGAAAGAAAACAGCAATCATTCCACATCAAATGGCAGAATGTGTCCGCTGACCCGTCCTCGCTCACACTGCACACTACTGACTGAACACACAGCAGGGCTGAGACTCTACTGTGAAGTGCAGACACATCATCAACTAGAGTGTTTTCCTGCTACATACTGTAAAAGCTGCTTCCAGATTTAAACAGTCCGAGGTTAAGAGTCCTGGTAGTGTGCAGTGTGAGCGTTCAGACAGAGCCTGGTGTTAGTGTGCATGAGCAGAGGGCTGGCATACAGGGAGCATGCTGTGTGTGTGTCTCACAGTATGGAGCCCTCGCCCTGCCTGGATTCACAAGAAAATGAAAAATAAACCAGACTGCACTTTGTAAAAGTCGTCCGTCTGTCCTAAAAGGTCCCGTACACCCGTCACGGAATACGGAGAGTTCGTTGGTGGAGATCCAGTGAACACATCACCAGGCGTGTATATACTGTATATATACATTTATTTTTTCTCTTATTGCAGCTCCAGGATTTTGTCGACGTTCACAGCTCTGAGATCAATTTGTTTGTTTCTCTGTGGAGGAGGAAGTTTGACTTTAATGGCTCCTGTTAGAGTTAAGCACTAAGACATTTGTGGAGCCGCGGCGTGTGAGGTGTCGGACCCTCGACAGCTGCTGCCTCTGAGCAAGGCACTATTCCCCCAGCTGCGTCAGTAGGACTGCAACTGCAAAAATTAGACACAGGAAAGAAAATTTTCTTCTTTTCAGAAGCCACGGGAAATTATTTTGGATATCATTAACTTATATTTAAACAGCTGGAGAAAAAGAGTAGCACCTACTGGACCGACAGCAGCTGTGAGGAACATCTGCAGGTGCACTGAGGGCGCCTGCTCCACCTCCACGCCGCAGCAGTACTTTTTAAAGTTTGTTCCCATTGTAAAAAGTTCCCGTGTGACCCCTCCCGTTAAGCGAGCTGCAGATTGTTTCCAGAGCGTCTACAGTCCAAACACATGAAATGGCGTTTCACCCATTAACAAGCCCAAACACTCCAGCACGTCCACGCCCTGATGCACAACTTTTAGTGTCAACACATTTGGCAAATCGTCGTCATCATCATCATCATCATCATCATCATCATCGTCATAAAAATAACAAAACATAAACATTAAAAACAGACGAGTTCAGTTCACATCAAAGTAGAATACAGATATTATATCTTTACCCACAAAAAGTTCATGTTACGACTAGCTTGGAAAAAGAAAGAAAACATCACCATGTTATACAAGTGTGTGTCTGCGTGTGTGTGTGTGTGTGTGTGTGTGTGTGTTTTCACGATGAAAAGTCGAGAGATTAGTGTGTATGCGCCTTTATATCTGTGTGTGTGTGTGTGTGTGTAGTAGTGTTACATTAACAAGCAACATGTCTTTCAGTATCAACACAGGAATCCTCCGTTAAAGAAAAAAAAACCCACATCACATCAGCATCATTCCCAAAGTAAGCATCCAAATCCGTCACCACATAGAAGTCGTCAGCTGGCCACTAAAAATCTCTCATCGAAAAGAAACAAAAAAAGAAAAAGAAAATAATATTTTAGTGTCAACTATATATATACTATATATTTATATTTTTGTTCTTTTATACCAACCAAACATATGGTATATTACGTGTTGCTATGGTTATGGTCCCTGGCAACATCATGAAAAAGTACAATGATTAAAATAAAGACACTGATCCCCCAACTTCACCCAGCTAGTGTGTGCGTGTGTGTGTGTGTGTGTGTGTGTGTTTCTGTCAGATTGTAGTGTTTGCTGTTGTCTCTGAATTCGGTGTGTTCATTTGGCGTTTAGTGTATTTGTTCTCAACTTCAGCGCGTGTCAATATTTTGGAGGACACGTCGCACGCTGATGTTTGTTTCTGTCTGAATGGGACGTTGAGGCATTGTAGGCATAGTTTAGTGTGTTAGTGTTTAGTGTGTATCTGTTGCTGTGTGTGCGTCTGTGTACGAGCACCGACAGCATGGGAGGCCTTCGCTGTGTGTTTAGTGTGTGTCTATGCGTTAGCGCTGATGCTCTGTTTGTAGACGGCGTGGTAGGCGTTTCGCAGCAGGACGTAGGGGAAGCAGGACTCCAGCAGGTCCATGGTCAGGAAGGGAGACTCCTGCACGATCTGAAACACAGACACAGAAATATTAATAACACTGATAAAGCCAGGGTTTTTAATTTATCCCTCGTTCTGAACTACAGCAGCAACGGTTACATTCAACTGATTAGTTTAACGCAAAAATATAAACTGGATCCTACTTTGATAATCAAGTAAATGATCGAGGCAATTATTTAATCGCTTCTGTCTGTTCATAATAAAATGAACTGCTCTGGATTTTTGGACTGTCGGTCTGAAGACGTCACATTGGGCTCTGAGAAATGACACAGGTTATGTTCTGGTATTTCATTGATAAAACAATTAATCAAGAAAATAATGTGCATATTAATCAATAGCTGCAGGTCTACTCCAAAACACATGACCTGCACTACACATGTGAAAACACCTTTAGTCCTGTTTCCACCGAGCATTTCAGTTCAGTTTAATACGACTGTTTCAGTTCCCACAGTGAAAGTTGTGGATGGTCCCAACAGAAGCGTTCCTTAGCGTCCCCATGTTTGGTCCCCCCTCTGTTGGGGTACCTAGCACACAGATCTGGTACTAAAAGGTGGAGCTAGAAACCCTGCAGTCTGATTGGTCAGTAGAGGACGCTCACTCTGGTTTTATGTAACCTCTGTTCATACATCAGTAAACTACAACTATAAAATGAAAGAGAAAAAAATAACTTCATTCACTGGGCCGACTGCCGGCAACTTTTAAGGTGGAACGTTAACTTGTAATGTTACTCAATGCATGAGTTGATGACGTGAATCCATCAGCACACCTTAAATTTCACTGTGACAACTTTGACCATCACTTTAGTTTTTATATGACACACACTTTTAGTAATGACTTTAAAAATATAGATTAATTTGGAGCGGATTATGTGAAGGTCATATATTCTAATCCTCACTTCCTGTGGGCTACAGCAACACTAAACCCCTGAGCTTGCCTGAGAAGGACTAAATGCACAAAGCTGCTATTTTTAAATATCCCATGGAGAGAGACTCTCACTGCAGCCTGTTCTATTTTGTTGTGAAAATGTGGGCGTGCAGCCTCGTTCTGTGGATGATAAACCAGGTGCAGACTTCCATCTGTGTCACCGCTGATGAGGAAATACAGCGAGTGCTGGACGGAGCAGTGAGTGACAACAACCCCGCCCACATTTAAGAGGACTGTCTGAACACACCGAGGGTCTAGGTACCATGTCTGAAGGCTTACTGCTGGTTCCAAAGGGACTGGACTGAAGGGTTTGGTGGCTTTGGTTATTGTCTCTCACCATGTCCAGCAGCAGGTAGACAGATTCTCTGTTACGTGTCGTCATCTTGTCCGTCTCCTGGCCGATCTTCAACAGGCTGGATGAAGCCAGCTGCAAACACACACACACATTAAAGATGCAGTCTTAATAGAGATGATAATGTTTGTCCGCTCTCTGTGTAAGTGTGGAGTGAATTCTAAAATGTCAGCAAAATAAAATGTGAAGTGGTGCGTTTCCATCAACCACCTTTATGTAAATGTACTGAAAAGGACGTGACAGGGTTAGCAAATGAACGGAGCGGCACCACCTCTAATACATCCTGACATTTTATTACTACCTGCTGCCAAAGATGAGTTTGTGTTGAGTGTTTGTGAAGGAACACTGATGTGCTACAGCCTTTAATCTTGGTCAGTGAAGGGAAAGGGTGACAGTGATGCTAAAGGTAACAGTCAGGTCAGCAGGAGGGCTAAAAGAGGCCTCGAGGTCAGGCTACGTGACCTTTGTTATGAACACGCTCTGTCTTTGTCTCCCAGTTGTGACTGAGATAAGGCGGGCTTTCTACTTGTGTGTCAAACTGACACCGTACTCTACCTCACACTGTTGACTCAGTCCATATTTCTGTGGACACACTGATGTCAGCTGCTGTTAATATTTACCTTTGCTTATCTCATATTCCTGCAGTGACCTTTCAGCTCTGCACTTCTGATACACACTGAAAGATTTTAAATGAAAACAAACGTGTCATCTTACAGCCAGGAACTCCTTGAGGCGGTCCTCTATGCTCCCCTTGTGGATGGTGAAGAGAGCAGCAGCGATCTGGTTGATGGCCTTGGCCAGGCAGTGGATGTTGTTACAGTGTCCTGTAGGGGGCAGCAGACACACACACAGTTACTGAGGGTACAAGACCTCGTCTGTGTTTGAAAATCAATTAGCTCTGCTTTAATTTCTGACCTGTGTGGCTCTTTAAGACTTCCTCAGCAGTGAGACGCTGCAGAATACAAAACCTAGAGCTGCCCGTCCAGGCGGGGGAATATGGATTTGTCTTTTTGTTTTTTTTTTTGTATTGCATGCAGATGAACGCCATTACGTGTGAATGTGAGATGCATAAAAAGTGTGTGAATATAAAACGTGTAATTGTAAGTTCACAAAATGGTTGGTGTGGCTGCTCGGGCGCCGTGTTTCCAGATCTGCCGTCGGAAAACCAATTGCTGGGCGATACGCAGTCTGCATACTAACAATGGTGGAGCCCATTACAACTCATTATCATTTTCAAATGTCCCTTATTAACAATGGCGCCTCTCATTTCAAGGTTGTTAAGAGGCGACGTCTTTATAATTCATCCTTGAGTGACAAATCTCTTTGATGCCTTATCAAAAGCCTCGACATCAGTGTGTCTCTAACACACTCTTCATCTCAGCTTTATTTGACTGAGTGAAAATCTTTTACTGACATAAATACAACAAATAAGGTTAAACAGGTCGCAGTGGGTGAACGGACAAGAGGTAAATAATATTTATGATTTAATAATTCAAAAAGTGTAAGTAACTAAGATGATGATGTGGCTCTTGTGCACACAGATGAATCAATCTGAGGGCACGAGGTCGATCTCATCTGCATGCACAACAGTCTCATGCCACTGATGCAGTAAATTATCTTCTCCTACAACGTGTAGTATTTTCTCTGCACTGCTCTCATGCTCTGAGCTGATCCTGCGCCACAAACCAGGGCTTGTTACTCTCTTTATTTTGTAATTAAAATATTTATTGTATTTTTAACATGAAAAACACAAACTTAACTTAGACATTAAAACAGCATGAATCATCCGCGCACAGGTCATAAGGCCGGTGTTCAACTTTCGAAATACTTTTTTTTTTTTTTTTTTTTTAATTCGGCACTAGTTTTATCACCAAGGAGACAAAGTCTTGGTGACCTGGACAGTAACCATTTACCAATATAATCCAGAACGTTCCTCCAAAGGGGAGAAACCCTACGACACTCCAATGATGCATGCATACATGTGCCACGGTCTTCTCTGTATTTCCAACACAAATCGTCTTTAAGGAGGCTCGTTTGAGTGTGGTAATATCTGTGAATCATTTTATACTGAATCATTTTTTAAGATACTTTTTGGGGCTTTTTGTCTTTAGCACTGAGTGTTTAGACAGGAGTTGTGCAAATTTGCAGGAAAGCCCAATCAGTGTTTTTTCAGCATTGGCAGTATAAAAACAAAATCGGGGAGTGCAGCAAAATGCCGCCTACCTACTTTTGTTTATACAGAATGTGCCTTTTTCGGGGCAATGGGGGGCGTGAGCAAGTAACAAAACGTGTAGCTCAGCGTGTGACGTAAACAGTGACGTGGGAGGGAAGCCGCGGCT